ATGAATATTACAGACATAATGTTTCCATAATTCTGTCTATTGGGCAACATCTGTTTTTATAGTCTCCCGTTTCCTGTCTTCAGTTCTCAAGACTGCATCTCTATGAAATAACAGGTTGAGCTGATCAGAAAAAAGCAGACTCTTCATTCGCTCCATTTGTTCCCATTCTTTCTCCATCTGCAAATCAAACTCCTCAAAGCGAACAATCTTTTCTTGGATCTCTTTCATCTGAAAAACTCATCATGTTCAGCAAATAATTTTACAACTTCAACCTCATGGACATTAACAATGTTATTTATTTATTTATTTTTTTACCCACCTGTAATTGTATAATTCCTAAAATTGCACTTTCCATATTCTGCTCTTCCTTCTTGACAACTGCATTGACATCTTCAGAAGACTTTTCCAATGTGTTTCGGTTGTTCTCATGCTGACCATTTGATGCAGCATCAACTTCTGCACCAGAAAGAAAAAAAAATATAGTGTCTGCCCAGTGCCAATCTCAATGACACAGCATTCCTACAGTAGGGTGCAACTCTTATTACATCTCCTAGGAAAAATATGGTTCATTCTTTGCAAATTGAATGTCCAACTATTCCTTTTGGACATCAAAGAATGAACAGTCAGGGCTTCCAATTCTTCCAGTTATTATTTTTGAGAAATGGTGATAAATTCTTCCAGTTATAATTTTGATAGTTGTTTGAGGAACCCTAACTGGTACACCAGACCTCATTATGGAAGAGTGGGACATGTCAGTTGGGGACTTAATGGGGAAGCTCACAACCAAAGTAACTTAACCTAATAGACAACAACAATGAGACAGATCCAACACTTGAGTATTAGACCTAACTGCATGAATTCAGCTTTAACTAGATGGCAATTATACCTTCGTTTGTATTTTTGACAAGTGATCCATGATTCCCTTGCTCTCTTCTCCACATCAGACAAACTAGTTACAGCTGCTTGAGCAGCAGCCTCTGCAATCTCCTCACCCACTACAGCTGACAGAAAGGCTGCCTGCAAGAATTCCAAGAGACATTACTACTGAAAAAATTCTTAATTTCACATAACTCATGTTCGTAAGATATTGAATATATTTAAGGCATTAAACTTAACACTACAATCTCTTAGACACAAGAAAAAGAGATTAAGCATCCATTTCCCCCCAACAATGGATGGCTGTGTGTATATCAATGGTAACCACAAATTTTAGAATGTTGCAAAGTATTGTCCTAAATCCTAATACTTTGTTGTCAAGTACCCGAAGTTCTTTCGGAAATTATGGAGTACCATGTATCTATACTATTATAATTAAGAGCAACAAAAGACTATGCAAGCAGGCATGCAAATAACTTAATGCTGGAAATTGAGATATTAGCTACAGTGGAACCAGCTCAAGCAACAGTTCTTTCATCAAGGTTAAATTTGGCAGCTTATTTAAAATTTAATACACAATCCACTTAGATCTGAATCCTGTCTCAAAATAAAATTTTGCTAGTCCAAGAACCCCAACCCTCATTTCTCCATTCTCCACCTCTTTTTCCATTTTCAAACTTTTAACAAGAAGTGTTACCTGAGCCATTATCGGGTTGCTGGCATCAGCAAGAGGTGTGAGCCGCATTCTTTTATTACTTTCCAGGCCACATTCAGCACAATTTTGAGTCTGGATAGTGGACAAATTCCTCCCCAAAAGGAAGCTTAATAAAGTGAGTGATGCAATCTTTCTCACTTCTACCACCAACATGCTGTGCAACCCTCTTCCAGTCATCACCATAATGCATAATAGCTTCGAGTAGCTGTAAAGTGTCTTTCTCGGTCCAATCTGTCTTTATCTCTTCACTGATCTCCACCCGCCTGAAATCTGCATTACTAACACGAACTCTATAATTCTCTCGAACAT